AGGACTAGCTGTTTTTCTAATAAACAAGATTAACTCAGTTTTGTTTGTTTGTTTGTTTGTTTTGCTTGTGGGAAGTATCAGCAGGAAAACTGCCTGAGATCATTTGAGTACAAAAGAAGCAAATGGGTTCAGAGCAGATTGGATTGCAACATGTGTTACAACATGCATCTAATATCCCATCATGCCTGTAGGCACCGCTCGTCTTGTGTGCGCTCAATGCGTTGCTTTGTGTCTGTGTCCTGTGTGGACTGAAAGCACCTCCCTCACAAAACAAACATTTATTAAGGCTGCTTTTGTTCAACCAAATCAAATTTTATTTGGGCTCTTTTTTTGGCATTTAAAGCTTTTTTTTATCTGTTTCTTCCATGAAAATTGGTGACTGTTAAAGAAAAAGTTTACTTCTGATAGAGTATGCCAGCATTTAATCATGTTTTAATCCTTTAGATATATAAATGTTTAGTTATTTAGAGTGCTATGTCATGTTTGGAGTTTTTTTTTAAATCATGCTTTTAAATCATAATCTAATTAGAGTTGGAAAATATTGGCAGCAAGTGTGACAATAAATATTTGCATAAAATCCATCAATAAATTAATCTATCCCAGGAAAATATGCATGCTTTATTTCTCTCCTTAATTAGTCCCACTGGGTAATTTATATGTTAATAGGAAGTGATGCATTGTGGGTTAAACTCTGACTCCTAAACAGGTGATGTGTTTCAGTAACATGTGGATCTCCTAAGGATCTTAAGGTGTCTAGATAAAACGCTATTTTTTTTCCAAAGAGTTAACTAAATCAGTTTTGAGTTTTACATTTCAGACTCTCACAGACCAAATATTGTTTATTTATATTTTAATATAAACGGAGGCAAAGCTTCTGTGGTTAATTCCAGAAATATATACCAGTTTTCAGATTTTCTGTGTTTCTCTGTTTAACAAATACGTAACGAAGCAGAGCTGTGTCTCTGATCCAGGTGAAAGTCTGTTATTGTAGTCAGTTTAGTTTGATCTTGACAGAAATCCTTAAATCCTTGTGCATATTCTATTAATCTGTTCATTTTTATTCTATACCAGATTTTAATTAAGAACAGTGGGAACCCAACTGTGATTTAACAGTGTGTGTGTGTGTGTGTGTGTGTGGTTACACTGAGGAGGGTTATGCAGACATTATGCTGCTTGGTTGCTCTTTGTAGCATAGATTTATTTTCTCCCCCTGCTTATCTTCTTCCAGTGATGGACACATGCGTTCATTAGCATGCATGTGATCGTAGGCTCTGCAGGCAACACCAAGCAGACGATGAAGGGCTTGGTGATTGAAACTAACGTCCAGTCTCCAAATGTTTTGTGCTATCAACACCGGGATAACCACTTTCCTTTCTATAAAAATTGCCATTTGCAGGCACTATAAGATCAGCTTCGCTTGTTATTTCTGCCGTTTAAAACAAACAAAGACGCCGCGCTCCATTAGAAAACCCTCCCTGCCCTTGCACTTTGACCGCTGGGACATTACGACTCTCCTGGAATCGTTTGACTTCATCACTGTCGGGTAGTGAGAGTCGAGACTGGCAGCGCTGCACTTCTGTTCAATAGATGGTGCTGAGCAAGGATGTGGAAAATGAAGCTCCCACCCAGTCGATTTCAATGGAGAATTGTGATTTATTGAAATCAATGGCACTCCCCAATTCCTATTTACAGTGCCCCCCCTTGTGTTCACCCACACATATTGTGCTTCTGTACATCGTAGCACCTAATGCAGACATGTTCACCACATCATGACCTCCCACTTCCTTATAAGATTCTGTTAATGGCATGGCCGAGTTATGCCTGCGTGCATGGGGCTTCCTTATGAAACAGACACCCCTAAGATGCAGCAAACTGATGAGTTAGCTCAGGGAGAAGTGATGAGACTATAGGAACAAAGGGTTAGTCAAGACACAGCAGAGCAGGTCAGAAAGTGCTGAACAGGCGAGGGGAGGGAAACGTGTCGACTCCTCTTCAGTCTCTGTGGAAGCAGAGATTTTCTTAAAGGAAGTCTGAGATTGTCATCATTGTATGTTTCCATATGGTGAAATTAGTTCTCTGCATTTATTACACCTGAGATGCACCCAGGTGGAGCAGTGGGCAGCTGTGTAAGCACCCAGGGAGCAATTAGGGATTAGGTGTCTTGCTCAAAGACATCACGACATGTGGGAGTGGCTGGGAGTTGAACCTGGGACTTTCAGTCCCCTTAATGTCTGCTGGCAACTTTTAGAACAATTAACACCCTGTTAATGTCTCCTGCTTTAGCACCAAGTTGTTCACGTCTGTCTTTGACTAGAATATCTCGAGCCACTGAACAAATTTTAATGAACACTGCAAAAATAGTTACGGATGTACGTGTACAACTATTTGACTTTTGGAGTCAGTCCAGTCGAGGATGGCAGCCATGGCAAACTGTCCGTAACAAACAAAAGAGCGGCTTGAATTCTTTCAGTTTTACAAAGTGAACTAAAATTTGGTGTGGTAGTGGCTGAGAGTCATTAACAACACGTACTCTGAGCACAACATCTTACCATATTACATGAGATTGTGCATGGTATTATTTTTAAAGTGTACCGAAACCACTACAGCTGCTATGTAATCTTAGCCAACACCAAACTAGTGCCCAGCTTTAAAGAAATTGAGCCACAGTTTGCTGCTGTTCACATTTAATTCTCAGAGGACTAACAGATTGTGCAAAAGTGTTTAAGTTTGATCAAAATGGCAAAGACAGAGGTCGAAATGGTTTCCTTAAAGGGACTCAAGGCCTTTATTCATTCATACAATAACAAATATCCACAAGAATAAATAGCAGTGATTTCTTTTTTTTACTCTAAATAGGCCTGTCACTATAACAAATTTTGCTGTGCGATTAATTGTCTCAGAAGTTATTGTGATAAATGATAATATTGTTTGAAATATGACAATAATTAGTCATTATTTACAAATTTAAGAAGAAATGTTTCATTTGTTTTATGTGTAGTACCTTTTTGACCACTGGATGGCAGTATAAGAATGTTTGAACCAAAGAATGGATATTGAGGGATTGAGCAGTGTGTCTCTTTAAGAAAAATGGGAGGGAGGCCCCTTGACGTGACATGGGCTGTCTCTCTTCAGTTCTCAAAATGGCGGACACTCAGTGTGTTTGAGCTCTTTAGCATAGCATTGTTCACACAAAGCTTTTAATTAAAAATCAGTAAACAAGTTCTCAGTTTCTTTTTGCAGAGAAAAACAACTTTTTACACTAAGGCACAGGTTTCAATCGTGAATTTTGGAGCTTCGACAAGACGGAGGTTTTTTCCCCGAGGTCGGCCTGTTAGCTTAGCTCGTAGCTTAGCTTCTCAACTTAGCTGCTTTTAGCAATCCAAAAACGCAATTTTGGATAGCTAAAATGGATTTTAAAGAGAAAGGGAGGTGTCAGTGAAGAGCACTGGAGTTGAGCTTTTTGTCATCCAGTGTCTTCAGTAGAACGAGAGAGACACAAAGAAACGATAAAGCTGATAAATGAAAACAAGGTTGATAATTTTCATTTATCAAGCGATTAATTGATTTATTGTTTATCGCGACAGGGCTAACTCTAATTGTGTTTATTGATTAATTCAATCCTGCTTTAATCAGAAAACTAACAGTGTTTGCTTTACTGCAGAGCATGAACGGCTCCAATCTGAATAAATCTCTTCTCTTCTTGCCCGGCATGATTAAGCAGGGGCTGATTGGCAGCTCCGACACAACAGTATCAGTGTTGGCATCAGCTAAGCTCATATTAGCTGAACTGTTGTGTTGAAATATACCCAGAGAAGCCGTGCACATCTGCCAGTGCTGGGAGAGAGTCTTTAGCTGTTGGGGCTTTATCTACAAGTGTGATTTACCCTGGAGCCACAGTTGGCAGGGATTTGAAGTGATGTCTGCTGGAGAGGGGGTGGGGGTGGGGGGGTGGACACCAAATCATCACTCAGCAAGTGCTCAGCATCACTTTCTGCATAAAAGCACAGTTATGGGAGACAAACTTGCATTTGCAAACAGATAAATATTCTCTGAAAGCTGCATTTATCTTTTATGTTCACCCCCCACCCAAGCGTTACCAAGGCTACAACTGCATTCAGTCCAACACTCAAGAGGCTCTCCGTGGTAATAACACAGCATGATATTCTTTTTATGCTAGATGGAGAGGCCTCCTTCCTTTTAAAAACAACAACTCTCTTCTCCCGCTTCTCTTTAATGAATCTTTTGGCGTTCAGACTTCACACGTCGAAAGGCTCTTTATTAAATTTAAGATTGCTTCAAAAGTGCCTCATAAGTGTTGGTTACAGATTGATGGCTTCAAACGCAGGAAGCAATGACTCGGTGTTGAGAAGAAAGTTGGGATACTGCAGCACAAACAGCCTGTGGATCCAGAGTTTTAATTAGCGTTGTGTATCTCCAGCTCTGAGAGGCCAATTAACATCCACCATGGAAGATAAATCATCGTGCTGCAGGAGTGTGTGAGTGTGTGTGTGTGGCTGAATGTGTGTTAGAGGGTTTGTGTGTTTAAGATGTCATGGTAGGGCAGCGTTGATTTTATTGACCTCTACTACTTTTGGAAAACATATCCTGAATTTGAATTTCCAGATGTTGATTCCTGCAGCGGGGTTATACGTTCTGATTTTCTTTACATTTGTAATTTGCTTTAAATTTAATTTAATCTTGACTCAAAAGCAACAAGATCAAGGATCCGTCTGTTTCATCTATCCAAGTGTGATTAACCGTTAAGTATCTGCAGTTTAAAGTTAAATAAAGTGGATTTTTTTATGTAACAGTTGTGGAAAGTGAATAATGAGGAGACAGTTTTATACAAATTTTAAAATATATCCTTTAAAATTTGCACAATTCCACATTTTCTATTGTTTTGTTGCTTTTATATTTACACTGTCTGAGCTACTTGCTATTCTCCTGATATTTAAATGAGTTATTGACGTTTTTCACATTTTTTATTTGTTTGTTTTCAGGTATTCCCAGGTTTACCATCCAGCCCTCGCCTGCTTCCGTTCATCTTGGAGACAGTCAGGTCATGGCGTGTGAGGTGAACTATGATTTGGTGCCTTTCACCCACTGGGAGAAGGACCGGCAGCCGCTGGAGCTGAGCGCCAGGCTGACGCAGCTTCCTGGTGGCGCGCTTGTTATCAGCAATGCCTCAGAGGTTGATGCTGGTCTTTATCGCTGTCTGGTGGAAAACGTCGGCTCTTCCAAGTCCAGTGATGAGGCGCAGCTCCAGACGATACCAGGTAAACCAGGGCCATGCAGTCAACGTTTGATGTATTGTTCTTTAGGAATAGGCAATTGTTTTTGTCTCTGTGTGTTTGGTATTTAATGGGGTAGTCCATCACTGGTCTGGGGCCGATATGATACATAACTTAATACACTACCAATAATTTGATTCAATAAAAATACAAAACAGTACTTACAACACAGTTCAGCCCTCCATTAAAATAAAGTGTGATTCATTATAAATTGGATTCAACACATTGAGATTATATTCAAGTAAACAAAGGAATGAGTCTGTCAATTATTGAGAATAATTAATTAATACCCACACTCACAAACAGGTTTTACTGTAAAATTACAGTGTTTTACAAAATCTGACTCAGAATTCTCAAACGATACAAACAATGGTTTGGTGCAAAATGATTCAACCTGCCAGCAGCAGATGTGTTTATATCCTTTCAGATTATAAATTTATCCACATGATCAGGATGAAGCACACTTAAAGTTTGTGTTGCTGTTCACAGCAGTGCTGCTGCTGTACTTAATGTAGTGTTTCTAATGGAAAATTGGTATTGCTAAACATCAGCAAATGCAAACCCCATACAGTTTCCCCCTCAAAGAAGGGGAAATTGTTGTTTGTTGTTGACTTGGGGTGAAATATTAAATCTCATAGTTGCACAATACTTGAAGTTGGAAGCAGACCAACATCTCCATGAGCTGGTTCCGGTACAACATTTAAGCCCCGCCTCCACTATGTAAACAACCAGAACTTTGCCTTTAATAAAACTTAAAAGTGCATCTCAGATTAGGGGTGGGCGATATCGCAACATTTAAAAAAAATCGAGATAATTTCATTTGCGATAAAAAATGAGATTATATCAAAATACAAACCGGATTCCAAAAAAGTTGGAACAGTAAACAAATTGTGAATAAAAACTGACTGCAATGATGTGGAGATGGCAAATGTCAATATTTTATTCGTAATATAACATAGATGACAGATCACAAGTTTAATCTGAGTAAATGTAACATTTTAAAGGAAAAATATGTTGATTCAAAATTTCACAGTGTCAACAAATCCCAAAAAAGTTGGGACAAGTAGCAATAATTGGCTGGAAAAAGGAAATTGAGCATATAACGAATAGCTGGAAGACCAATTAACACTAATTAGGTCAATTGACAACATGATTGGGTATAAAAAGAGCTTCTCAGAGTGTCAGTGTCTCTCAGAAGCCAAGATGGTAAGAGGATCACCAATTCCACCATTGTTGCACAGAAAGATAGTGCAGCAATACCAGAATGGTGTTACCCAGCATAAAATAGCAAAGACTTTTAAGTTATCATCATCAACTGTGCATAACATCATCAAAAGATTCAGAGAATCTGGAACAATCGCTGTGCGTAAGGGTCAAGGCCGTAAAACTCTACTGGATGCTCGTGATCTCCGGGCCCTTAAACGTCACTGCACCTCAAACAGGAAAGCCACTGTCAAGGAAATAACAGATTGGGCTCAGGAATACTTCCAGAAAGCATTGTCAGTGAACACAATCCACCGTGCCATCCGCCGTTGCCAGCTGAAACTCTACAGTGCAAAGAGGAAGCCATTTCTAAGCAAGCTCCACAAGCTCAGACGTTTGCACTGGGCCAGGGGTCATTTAAAATGGAGTGTGGCGAAATGGAAGACTGTTCTGTGGTCAGATGAGTCACGATTTGAAGTTCTTTATGAACACTGGGACGCCATGTCATCTGGACCAGAGAGGACAAGGATAGCCCAAGTTGTTATCAACGCTCCATTCAGAAGCCTGCATCACTGATGGTATGGGGTTGCATGAGCGCTTGTGGCATGGGCAGCTTGCATGTCTGGAAAGGCACCATTAATGCAGAGAACTATGTTCAGGTTCTAGAACAACATATGCTCCCATCTAGACGTCATCTCTTTCAGGGAAGACCCTGCATTTTTCAACATGATAATGCCAGACCACATTCTGCAGCAATCACAACATCATTGCTACGTAGGAGAAGGATCCGGGTACTGAAATGGCCAGCCTGCAGTCCAGATCTTTCACCTATAGAGAACATTTGGCGCATCATAAAGAGGAAGGTGCGACAAAGAAGGCCCAAGACGATTGAACAGTTAGAGGCTTGTATTAGACATGAATGGGAGAGCATTCCTATTTCTAAACTTGAGAAACTGGTCTCCTCTGTCCCCAGACGTCTGTTGAGTGTTGTAAGAAGAAGGGTGGATGCCACACAGTGGTAAAAATGGACTTGTCCCAACTTTTTGGGGATTTGTTGATGCCATGAAATTTGGAAACAACAGATTTTTCCCTTAAAATGATACATTCTCTCAGTTTAAACTTTTGATCTGTGATTTGTGTTCTATTCTGAATAAAATATTAGATGTTGGCACCCCCACATCATTGCATTCAGTTTTTATTCACAATTTGTTTAGTGTCCCAACTTTTTTGGAATCCGGTTTGTAAATGATATCGTGTTATTCTTGAAAATCCGCCTGCTGTCTTTTTTCTCCCAAGCGGCCCCTCCTCTCCCTCTCAGCCCAGCCCCTCACCCGCTCCCCCCCGTTTCCTGCTTCTCCAAGTGGGACGGCACGTATCATTCACAGAGCAGCTTGTGAGCAGAGAAAAAAATAATGGATCTGTTATTTGGAGATTGTTCATATTTAATTTGTCAGATGTGCAGCAGAAACATGTTTTCTGTAGACAATGCTGAAAACAAGTCCCGACGAAAGGTTTGAGCACAACAAACCTTTTTCACCATTTAAATCAACGCTATAAAGTGGAGTATGAAGAGTGTGTTAAACTTCGTGCTGCAGCTCCAGCTCTGTGAAGCCTTCCCAGCTTCCTTCCCTGAAACAAACTTCGGTACAAAACTCATACCTGTGCTGTATGAGAGGAACAGAGATGTAGAGTGACATTAATATAGCAGCAGCTTTTATCGCTAAAGACATGGTCCCAGTCTCAACTGTGGAACAAGATGGCTAAAATTAGCCATCTTGTTAGCCGCTAAATATGATAAGCTGCTGCTTTATTAATGTAGTGCCACCTCTCACTGTAAGACTTGAAAATCTGTAGTTCTTGTTTTTCTGCCCGTCCAACTTCACGCGGCCCCTCCTTCTCCCTCGCTGAGTACAAGCAGCCCCTCACTGCTGCTTCACACACGCTTACTAACGTTGTGACGACGGCACAGCTGGGGAGGATTATTATTTAATACGTGTAAATAAATGTCTAAAAAACAACCTTTAATATATGCAAATAATTTCTGTAGACATTTATTTTGTATAATTAATAAATGTGCCTGTGTGACACTTGGAACAAAGCTTTGACTCAGAAATATATTTTTGTTATTACTTTATGGAAAGGAAAAAAAAAAAGAGATAGATATCGTATATTGCGATTTATCTTAAAATATTGAGATATAGACTTTGGTCCATAGCGCCCAACTCTATCTCAAATGCCTCTTTTGTAAAATCCTTTATTTATAGAAGTTTATGTTTATTCTTTTGTTTGGGCAAGATGGCTTATTATCTTTAGCATCAGGAGACCTGCCTGACTTGGATGAAAAATGGTTTAATGCTATAAGTGTCTGATTCCCATTAAAGCTATAAGTAACGTAACCATAACTCAGCTGTTGCACAAAAGGAGGCTGGATTCTATGGTGCCGGGGTCTCATCTCGCTCCTCTAGAAGTTTTATTTACAGAGCTGTTAAACACTAGGCTCCAACCAACACAGAGAAGATATTAGAGGCTGTAACTCAGACTTCAACAAGACCCCTGTGGGGTTCTTCATCCTCTGTATGCCTCCTCTGAGGGTGTGTGTTGGCCTGGCAAATAAATGGGTGCATACAGGAGGTAAACTCATAAATCTGTCTGAGGAAATTAAAAGAAAATGAGTTTGGAACCAGATAAATGTGTTTCTTACAACACATGAGCCTGACATTAGTGGAACTTGTTCCACTGAGAGACAACAAATGAGTCTTTTCTACTTTTCTTACTTTTACGTGAAGTCACTTATTTTTATAGTTGGGATTGTTAAAAGGTACAGACAATTAATAAAATAGCTTTTCAACAGAGACCTTTTGATTGGCTGGATCATTTTAACCTTCAGTTTATTTAAAGATGATACTCGGATAACTAGTTACAGCTGGAATGGAGCTCTGTCCATCACTGGTCAGGGGCCGATATGATACACAACTTGATAAACTACCAATGATTTGATTCATTAAAAATACAAAATAATACATATAACACAATTCAGCCCTCAATTAAAATAAAGTCTGATTCATTAAGAATTTGATTCAACACATTTTAGATTATATACAAGTAAACAAAGTAATTTCAATTATTGAAATTACTATCAAATGGCTGCTCACAAATAGGTTTTACTGTAAAATTACAGTATTTTATAAAATCTGACCAAGGATTATCAAACAATACAAACAATGGTTTTGTGCAAAACTATTCAACCTACCAGCAGCAGATGTGTTTAGATCCATTCAGATTATAAGTTTATCTACATGATCAGGATGAAGCACACTTTCAGTTTGTGTTGCTGTTCACAGCAGTGCTGCTGCCGTACTTAACGTACTGTTTCTAATGGAAAATCAGTATTGCTAAACATCAGCAAATGCAGGGCTTAATTTGAGCCAGATCCTGCAGGAACAGGATCTGGGAACTCTCTTATTTTGACTAGGTGCATTCTGGCATCTATTCGCTCGAATCCGGCAACTCAAATCTCCGCCCCTAAAAGTCCAAGGTCATTGCACATTTTTATTAAAACCTCAAAAATATAATTAATCAGCACAACTAAATTGCAGAGCATTTTGACAGTTTAAGTGGGTTATTAAAAAAATTTTGATTATTTATTAAGAATACAACAAGAGGAGACGTTGCCCTTGGCCCAGCGGACCGAGTCTCTGGAGTGGATGTTCCAGCTGCAGCACACTCACTAGCTCGCGCACACACTCCTGCCCAGCAGAGACGTGGACGATATGTCCCGCGGGGATGAGTGTCTTCATCCAACACCTTCAGCAGCACACCCTGCGGACAGTGCACGTTATGCACCGGAGCATCTCCAGACAGCTCTACAGAGCGCGCACAACTTCTGATGTGTCGAAACTCCCACATACATTTCAGACATAATAAATAAAAAAAGTTGTATGGCATCTGCTTTTTTCAAATTTTTTTCTGGGGGAGGACCCAGACCCCCCTCCCCACCAGCAACCCCGCCCCTGCCTCACCCTGTATTCGCGTTTCGCCATTGATCGGTTTACAAATTAAGCCCTGAGAAAATGTAACCCCAAAAAAAGTTGCCTCCTCAAAGAAATTAAGAGAGATAATTTGTTGTTTGTTGTTGACTGAGGATAGAAATACTAAATCTCATATACATACACAATACTTGAAGTTGGAAGCAGACCAACGTCCCCATGAGCTTGTCCCAGTACAACATTTAAGCCCCGCCTCCTCCATGTAAACAAACAACTTTGCCTCTCATAAAACTTAAAAATCCATCTCAGACAATGTTTTCTTGTGTTGCCTCTTATGTAAAATCCTTTATTTATAGAAGTTGCAAGATCACTTATTATCTTTAGCCTCAGGAGACCTGCCAGACAAATGAAAAATGGTTTAAAGCTATAAGGAGTGTCTGATTCCCATTAAAGCTGTAAGTAACGTAACCATAACTCAGCTGTTGCACAAAAGGAGCCTGGATTCCATCATGGCAGGGTCTCATGTCGCTCCTCTAGAAGTTTTATTTTTAATGGGATTAAGCTCTGAACTTGTACAGACACCAGTGGAGTTAGATATCATCCTTCTGGTCCTTCCTGGTTTAGGTTTCAGGACTTGCTCCTCATCCCACAGTGCGTCTTTTAATGTTTCTGTCCAATATGGGAGTTAGTTGAACTTTTCTCTGTTTTTCCTCATCTTAGAAACTGGAGAGGAGAGGAAGCTGGAGTTCCTGGTTCAGCCCGCTTCTGTGACCAAGCTGATTGGTACCAGTGTGCTGCTGCCCTGTGTGGTTGCTGGTTTCCCTGCTCCTCACATTCGATGGATGTTAGGAGACAAACTGCTGGAGGAAAGGTATGAACCTAACTTCTAACTGTACACTTTCTTTTTGCATGTGATAATTCTCTTCATGCTTCTGTGTGAGTGTTCATTTGCCATGTTAGCAAAATATCTCATGAAGTACTCTACAGATTTTGACGAAACTATTTGAACATATCTACAGCTGATTAGTTGTGGGAGTTAACACAATTAAAGATGGCTGCCACGTCTAAGTAGCTTTTGTTATAACCTAGGTTATGCTGCAGGCGAATGTGTCTCAAATCTGAGTTTTTTGCCCTGTGCTAACCATGTCTGATTTTTTTTTTATGGCAGTGTAAACATGACAAATCACTGATTTGAAATCAGATCCACATATTATTAATGATACCAACCTCATGCAGTTTAAATCTTGGAGCTTTGCACGTCTTCAGCTACAGAACAAAAGTCCAGCTGCTTCGTCTTTGTTGTTTTAATTTCTCTTGTCCTGGATGACTGAGACTCTACAAAAACATACGATACTAACGTTAATGTTGGACCGAATCAATACTAACGTGATGGGATCAATACTTGAGCTTGTTTTTACCTTTGGTACATCGTTCTTCTAAAAACAACAACGCTGCGCTGGAGGAGCCATCAAGAGGCAAGATTAAATATTAACACTGGACCAAACAAAGCTGTCGGATAATAACTGAATCAGTTCTGGTGGTCTTTTTTAGCAAAACATCTCATGGACCACATGAATATAAAGTTAAACTAACCTTTATTTATTACTCATAGAAGCTGTTATGTTGTTGTCATCAACCCACCTCTCATAATCACTTTATGCCAACGGTGGCCAGTAACCGCTAACATAACTTTTGAAAACCAGCAGAGAATATAACGTTCTGCTTCGGATGCTTCTGTTTGTCCTGCCGCCTGCTTCCCGAGGCGTTAATGCTTCTCTGCCACTGCTAGAACAAGAGCTCCAGAGGGAGAGCGGGATTTGCAAAGCGAGCCACTTCATCGGGGACGTCAGGCTGCTGGGTCACCAGCTGAAGGGCGGTTCACAAATAAAGAGCCGAGATAGAGTGTCACAGCGCCTGTGCTCTCGCTCCTCTGGCTCCTATTAGCCGAGGCAGTGCAGCTCAAAAGTCCTCGGAGGGAACCGTGCCGAACGTGGGAAATTTGATTCTCACCAATTAGGAAAGCACCTTGTTTACCTTACTCACGCCAGTCCTGCAGGATGATAACGCTGCAACCTGTGGGGTCAGTAAAAACAATAACTGGAACAGAGCTCATTTATCTAAATCCACCTCCTCGGAATGGGACGTTCACCTTTAAGTGAAAGTAAATGCAAGGTTGTCATATTGTTTACCACAAGGCTCCGGTGTAAGAATATCATTAACCCGTCGAGCTGATAGTTCAAAGCACAGCTCCACATCTCAAGTTTAACGTCTTTAATAGCTGTGGAATTGTCTGCGAGTGCCCTGACCTCCAACAGGAGCTGGCTGAAATGGTTCTACCGTGTATTAATTAGAAAATAACATCCAGTGTGAAACCCCCACCACCCCCACCTCGGGTGGCGGTGAAAGTAATTAGCAAGCGTATTGAACGATCAGGGAAGTCTTGGTGATACTGAAGAGGTCTGAAATGGCTCCTGCCTTTTGAGCAGAAATGAAGAGTGTGGCTAATGCGTTTCCAAGATCGTTCTGTGATTTTAATACAATGTTGTCAATGAAAGTAACGCCAGTGGGGTTTTCCTTTACCGCCTCTCACAACTCTGAGAAGACGTTACGAGAGAGAGAGAGAAGCTGCTGTCAGTTAGACACTGAAACTTGAGGCAGAAAGGGGGATCTTAAAGGAGAGTGTGATAGGTCTGTGGTGCACGGCACTCATCTCAAACGTAGACGTGCCGAAGCTGTAGACATTAGATGAAAGTTGAGGACGGTGTGTCACAGCTACCAGCTGAAAGCAGGTGACTTACTGACGCCAGCCTGGGCACATGAAGCCTCTTCCACTGACACTTCTTTTTACGGCGTATGAGTTCACAGTAAAACATCAGCCGGATGATTGTACCAACAGACACAGCCAGTCGTTTATGGTTTTTGTCCAAAACAGGTCTCTTTTGTAAATGAGTGCTCGTGACTCACTGACACTAACCTTTTATAAATAAAGGTTGAATGAATGAACAGTTAAGACGATTAATGAAGATGAAGTTTCAACAAAATTCAATTCTTGGATTTATGATTGCAAAGATGGAAATTCTTTACTAGTCATTCCTTATGGCGGCTCCACAAATGAATCTTATTATTTAAACTTTTATACAACAGCAGATAATCATACACAGGGGGAAACAAAATTTGGTTGTGTAGTTTTTGTTGGTCTGTTTTGGGCTAAATGCTCCGTAATTAAAGCTGCTCTGTTCTGACTTATGAGAGATGGTCCCACTTCTCGTACGATATCCTACATGATACCGTACAATATAATATGTTACAATTAGGGATGCACAATATTGGATTTTTGGCCGATATGCCGATATATTAAAACTTATTTGGCCGATGCCGATATTTTTAATGTACTTTCCTTTATCAGAACATAGCCCTTTTATTTAGGCTTATTTACTACAAAAAAAAATGTTTATTCAGTAACAGCCATATGCATAGCACTTTAACTTATATTAAATGAAAAGTGTTAAATGTTATTTATTAGCATTAGTCACCTGCGATGCTGTCTCACTTGTGGAGGCTTGTTCCGGGTTCCTAGCTGCAGTGTGGGATCCTCTGCACTCTTGTGCCTTTTTAAGTTCAAAGTTTTTGTCTATCCATTGTGCTGTAAGACTAATCGCTAACGGGGCTAACACGACGTCCAAATGTCTGTGGTAGAACTCACCCAAGTGCTATCAGCTGTTAGCTTCTCAATGACGTTGGAAATGACGGCTTGTAACTCGGGTAAGGCTGCGTCGGAAAAATATCTCAGACTGGGGACGATGTAGCGAGGCTCAACGTAGTCCATAAATCTTCGGAATCCGACATCCTCACCAACGAAAAATAAAACTTCCACACTGCCGACATTTTGAATTTTCCTCTCCGCCGTGATCAGATCAGGTAGGCGCACGTGACGTCATCACGTTATGCTGGCGCTGCAGGCATCCTTGTCACTGGGTTGTCATACAAAAGCAGCGTCTTTTATATCGGTGTGTTATTTTGATGGAATAGCCGATATTTAACTTTGACACTAATATTGTCCGACACTGATACCATGCTGATAATATTGTGCATCCCTAGTTGCATTGAAATTCAGTTCTGTATTTTGCAAAACGTTGTGATATAATATTCGGTGGTATTGTACACTACAATATACTTTGTATAATAAGATGCAGTACTGCACAGTACAATGCTATAGGATACAATTTGGACTTGCTGTCTCAGTATTTGCCCATGCAGGAAATGAAATCAATTCATTATTTTTCTTATTTATTTATTTGCTTGTTTGTTTATTTTGCATTTACCTGTTTTTGTTTTCTTTCTTTTTTTTTTTTTTTGTTTTTACAAGGAAAAAGCCTTGAGATTTAAAATCAGAGTTAAAAGAGCATCTTGACGAACAAATTCTAAGAACAGAGTACGAGGCGCTGTTCCACGATATGATCCAGCAGTGAGAATCTTTGCTAATTCCTCTCGTGTGTTTGCACTTACAGTAAGAGGCACATCAGCAAACTGAAACACTTCGTTTCATTTTTAGTTTTTACTCAACTTTTGATACCCAATAGTTTTTAAACAGTCTATAGTTGTCCCTGACACACAGCACCAAAATGGTAACTTTTCAGAAAATGTTTATTTTTAAACTAAATATAATGTACAGTCACAAGTTCAAACTACTTTTTTCAATTGGTTTATCATCCATGACCCAACAACAGATATGAACTGTCTCCAGTAGAGTTGATTTATATAAAAATATTATTAAAAAAAAAGAAAGAAAAAGGAGGATTAATACTGACTGTGATTAAAAAAAAAAGAAATTTAATTTTTATTTTTTAGCTTTGACATGTTATTACATTAAATAAGGATGACATTCATGAATAGTTTTGAATGCAGTTTTGTTTCAGACATGGATGCAAACATTTTTAAATGCACTTGATTCAACATGAAAGTGCATCATTTAGACATTTGTGCTTATTAGATTTTTTTTAAAGCTAGTGGTGCTGAGGCACCTGGAACACCTCAGTTTGTCAGATAAACACAATTTTTCTAAGATACGTTTAGATTTGAGTAAAAGTGCTTCGAAATTCTAGCTGCATGTTTTTTTAACATCAAGCATCTAAATTGTATTTTAAAAAACACTCAGTAAATATTAATGTAAGCCAGTGGAAGGGTAAAATGGATAATGGTGCCATACTTGATGAACAGCAAAAGATTTTCACAGCATGAACTTCTGAATTTTATGAAACTTCTCTTTGAACTTCACTTAAACCAATAAAACTGATATTAAATCTCATCGAGAGTCTATTTTTAAACTAGTTCGGTCACAGAGGGTGGGCTTCAATATTTGATTTTGAACCTTTCTTTGTTCCATGAGCTGTATCCAGTAAATGCATTTTTTATTGGACTGAATATCTGATTCTGTTTTGTGGTATTCAGTGTTTTTTTATTATTATTATTATTATTATTATTATTATTATACCTTTCAGGGTCCTTTAGTCTCTTACAAAGTCATTACAGTAGTCCCTCAATTATCGCAGGGGGTTACGTTCTGAACACCCCTGCAATAAGTGAAAAACCGCGAAGTAGGTTCTGATCGGCTCTCTACAGCCACTGAGCGCCGAAGTCACTATGAATAAGGACTAGATTTTTTAGCCAGGTTCGGATCGGATCAAAACTTTCCCTCCATTTCGGCAGCTGGAAGCACTGTTAGCTTCTGGGTAATGCAGTTCTTTTGGACTGGTGATGGAGTATAGGCTTATTGAAAGAGAACTAGAAAATGGCTGCACCTGTCTGAAGTTTTTTTTCGTTAACATTTTATTTGTAACGTCCAAATCACGTGAGAAATATTAAAGTTGACCACCTCTTGATAAACCGCGAAAGAGCGAGTCCGCTAATGTCGAACTTTGAAGTAGCGAGGGACTACTGTACTTGATCCATTGTTGTGTAAGGAAGGACAACGAAACAAAGCTGATGGTGTCTTTTGGGACAGTCTAAGTCAGGGGTGTCAAACTCACTTACAAAAGGGAGCCAAAACCTTTTTCAAACTAAGGGCCAATTTCAAAAACTACATTAACTCAAGTTAGATACCCAACATCTTTTCTTGGTCACAGGTTCCTCAACAAGAGTTCGATTGGCCTCATTTGATGTTCTCCGTTGTGCTTCCGACATCATAATCAAAGATTACGGTACTGATAAAATTCAAGATAGAAGTATTTTACATTTCACATATCATCTTAGGGGCCAGATAAGATGTCAGCGAGGGCCACATTTGGCCCCCAGGCCTTGAGTTTGACACGTGATCTAAGTCATTTCAGCATTTGCGTCAGCAAATTAAAAGAGAACCAACTCAACCTGATGCTCCTCGTTTGTCTCATCAGACATTTCACAGATGAATTGCATTAAATCTACATTAAACAGATACTTACCGGTAGTCATCACTACAAAGCTAATTCTGCAGTACCGGTCTGGTTATGTGTTCCTTGTTGTTCTGATCCTTCCCTCGTGTTCATTCAGGTTCAGACCAGGTCTGCTCCTAAGGACACCAAAGTCCCCATTAATTCAGGTTAGGCTCAGCAACACGGTGACACATGATGCAGCGCTCCGAGCTCTTCGGTCAACATTTATCCTTAGCAAACGCCCTGCGTGTCATTGATAACATCCCCACGTATCAGTCTGCAGAGAAACAGCCCTTTGAATTTCCTCCTACGCGCGGGTCTTGATGACACTCAGTAAAAGGACAGTCATCTTTTGTTCTTGGGAGTATCACTCCATCACCTAACAGAATTCCCCAGCAGTCAATAAAAATGGATGAATTATGCATGTCGGCCAGCAGCGGGGGGATTGACGGAGCATGCAAATCAACCATCATCCGAAGCCTCAGAGTCGTCTGTCTTCGCCCCTCCATCTCTGCTCACACGTATTTAAATGCGATT